CCATCACACCTCTCCTGAAAAGAAAAAGTTAGTGGCCCCACATCATCCACTTCATCTGAACAGTCTAAAAAAATATAATACAGCACAGCTGACCCCACATTATAACACAAAGTTCACCTATTGCTTATAGCTAATGAAATCACTGTAAGTACCTTTTACAAAAAGTTATAAGTTACAGTTCTTCTAGCTAATCAGCTTAGGTAACAGTAGGTAACTATTTATCATATTTGCTGAAGCTACATCCTGAAGTAGGACAGTAGTGAAAAAAATCTGGTTCCTATGGCTTGTCCTAGGGCTAAAGCATCAGTATTTGACAACCTGGGAGTGACACTCAACAATCAACTATCTTTTTTAGCTCTGATTAGTGTTTGTTCAGATGCAGTGGATTCTTGCAAATGTCATTAGGGGAGAGGAGCAACATGAACCTGATTTTCCCACAGATTATCTGTCTCATGTACTACTGTCAGGATATAGTGAAAGTCTCAGCAAATATGACAACAAGTTGAGTAAAGATGAAGTTAAGTTTACTCATCATGAGGAGTACTACTCAGCCTGTGAAAACAGTTACATAATGTCTTCAGTGGCTCGGGAGAGACTGGAACTCAAAGTGCTCTGCTTAATGCATTAAAACATAATAAAATAAAATAAAATGTAGGATCTGTTTTGTGTGTTATGCAAACCACAACAACAAAACTGTCTATAATAGCCCACGTTTGACAGTCCATCACCAAACAAATGAAAAGAAAACTGGATTTTAAAACTAGATGCACCTCATCTGTTGTCCAGGACCCAACCACTTTTATAACGCAATGTCTAAATTTTTGGCACTTTCTCTTAGCTCTACTGTATTTTTATTGTTAGTGTGACATTTGTCCATGAAGACTTTAAAAAACACACAGGAAACACACTAACCCCAGGACACACTGTATCTTTGTCCCAGTTCCATAGCAATACTTCTGCTTTGAGTATGTTGTGTGTTATATTCCACCGGTTGGAATAGTGGTGTTACCCAATGATGATTGTGGTATACACTTATATGTCACTCACCACAATCACTCAACATGACACCTTTAATCAGTTGGCGATTTGTTGATTTTTACCTGGGGAGTTGGCCCAGTGGGAGCAGCCTAGTGACGAGAAGCACAGGGGGTGCATTTATTTAGAGTACAATATATTGTATTGTGAATTACATACACGTTCTCGCCCAATAGCACCCATTTATAAAAGTTTGGGATAAATGAGTCGAATGCAATCAGAGCAGAAACTGATGTTGCACACTTTGCGTTACTTTTGCCCCTCACTGTCTACAAAAGTAACAGTTGGATTCATATTTACATATTTCTAATGCTTCAGTTAGTCCTCCAAACAAATGACCATGTGACTCTAAAATCCATCTATCAAGTTAAATTACGCAGTGCGCCTCTTACTTCACAAACTCGTACCCACAGATAGGTATAACAGATGATATACACTCAAAATCTTCAACAAATAAACATTACCTTATAAACAGAAAACAATTTTTAACTGTTCTGTACTTTTTATTAGTCAAGTGAAAAATCCGTTTTTCAACTGTAACTCTGGCAAAACTGATCAGATTGGGCAGATTTTTGGCAGACTCAGTGACTGGGTGTATCTCTTGAGGACTTCCATGTTACAAGAGAAAAGGTCCATGCTGCAACTGCCCCCCTGATACGTGGATCCCCCTATGTAAGCATATGCATATATACATGTATACACACACAAAAAACATATAAATACTAACATATGGACGGACAAAACAAGAGGAAAAGAATAAGTAAACAAACACAGGAAAGGAGATCTATAAAAAGACCTATAGAGGAGCCACTTACAAAACAAACAGTTCATAGATTGAGCAAATCTGAGTGATTGGTGAAGATGATTCCACAGTGTTGGAGCTAAAGCAGCTAAAATATGAGGAGCACAATGAGGAGCAAGAGATCTGAAATGTAACCGAGGGCAAGGTCATGGAGGACCTTATGTAATCAGCAGGATGTAGTAGTTGATTCAGGATTTTACAGGAAGCCAGTGGAGCTCAGGAGGTGTTGTTTATATGTATAACTAGACTGTTGAAACTGAATGATTGTTCCTGGCCAGTAATTTATTAGATACAATCATTTTTAAACATGAAACAGTGACTAATAAGAGTTTATTTATTCTTTAAAATAGAGACTGATCTTAAAGTACTTTTTTAAATTCATATCAGTATTACAGTATGTAATGTAATATATGTAATATATGTAACATATAGATAAGGGGGGATCAAACACAGCAAATTTTGATTGTTTAATGGGGTACAGAGTATTTAGAGTGTTTATTTTTGTTGTTTTAGTTACACAATAAGTATATGGCAACCACTGCATCTCTCCAGCCTCCTGTTTGTTTGTGTCCCACGAGCACAGCAGTGTGCCTCTCTCTCTGTCCCTAGTTCCTCCTCGTCTTCTCTTTCAGTCAGGCTTCTCTCTGACATTCACCATCAAGCCATGTAACTTGTCTAATAGTCTAATAATAATGACGTGATACTCCACCTAATGGAAAAGTTGACTTAATCAAAGAGCTAGAAACTCAGGAGAAGGCCTTGACTCTGGTCAAAAGCCCTGCCAATGCACAACAGAGACCTTTGTGAGAACACTGAAGTCTGATGTACAGTATTGTTCCGTATGTTTACTGACTTGAAAGCAAATGGCTTCCACTTACTCTCTCCACTCCAGTCCTCTCCTTGAAAACCTCACATTGTCTCCCCCTAGGTGAATGGTGTGGGAGGGGAAGACAGAGACTGATCATTTAAAGTAATTGGTCACCGCCTGAGTTGAAGCTTCTCTGCCTCCATTCAGATCCTCGTGATGAGACCACCCAGATGTTACCAATTAAAGTGGAGGCACGAATCAGTGAAATTATGCGAGTTAGACTCCTCCTGTTAGGACAAATTGCAGACTCTCAGAGGTAGGTTGGCTATCACTGTAATCAGAATAAGAATCAGAATCGGTGACAGCTTAGAGAATAAAGTCACTTAACCAAATCACATTTTCACTTCAATGTTTTTATTTATCGCGCAACATAAAACAATATTGTGGGGTTTTTACCACATACACTATGTATTCACATAATACACCATACAGCTACAAAGAGAGAGAGACTGAACAAAAACACTTTTTTTTTTACATACTGCATCCTTGACATGAAAATAATGAACCAAGAACAATCCTAAAACTCAAAAAGGAATGTAGCTGCCAGTTGTGTAGGTTCATTTTTATTTTTGTATGGGCCAGGGTCCAAGTCTTTATCCCGAATTTGGAGAGTGTTCATTAAATGAGGTGTTCAATAGACTTCTAAAAGTGGGCCATACACAGCGAGATGCATATGTGTATCTATGTTTGTATGTGAGAAAGACAAAATATACAAGGTGTTAAGAGGAAGAGAGGGGTTGAGTAAAGGAAGTGCATGACTAGGGAGAGGAAGAGGGAGGCAGTACACAATTGCTATTCTTGTATTGTTCAAATATCTTAGCATTCAGTTACCATCAACATGTACAATATACTCAAAAGATCATTTCAATAGCCTTTGGTACTTGCGCTGTACCAAATGTGAAACCCAGATAACAGTCTTCATATAATATGAGTCTATATCTCATCCTAGTTTTAATGAGTTCAAGTACAATATGGAATGAATATTGATAGAGAATGTAATCAACTGTTTGAGCGCCCCCCTGCCCTCAAAAAGAGATGTAAATTTGTAGCGTTGTAACAAAAGACTTTTCATAAAGTCAGCACCAGGGCAGCTTCCTATCCTGTGAAACTGCTTGAATCAAAAGTATAGTTCTTTTGACATTCGAAGAGCTCAGAAAAATATTTGTGGTAATCATTTATCCCTCACATTTTTACACAGTGATTTTTTTTTTTAAGGTGTAGCATCATAGCACCAGCTGACCGACCCCCCATCTCGGTACGTGCTTGGGAGGTGGCACCTCTCATGAGAACCATCCACCAAACTCGTGAGACATTTAGAAATTTACAAAGTTATTAAGATATCATGTACACTGTATCCTCAGCACCCATTGTTAGACAAGTATGTGTGTGTGTGTGTGTGTGTGTGTAATGTGGGCCATGCATTATGGTAAAAAGTAAAATCGGTCCTGTATCTGTACCAGTCCCAGCCCCTGCACCTGTTGGCCATAATGTGTGTATCATATGATCAATCTAATCATTACAAACTAAACAGGAGTGTCGTGATTTTTATGCCAGGTGCATACTTACTATTATGAGAACTAGATTGGATAATAATGATAGATACATCTAAACAAGCAGGGAGCAGTCTCTTACCTGATAGTCTAACACAACTGACAAAGATCGCTAAAACATCGCCCACTGATTCACCTCAGACTGGTTCCTAAACATACCCCCCCTCACCCCCTTCGGATGCAGTCCTGCACGATTTGTGGTAAATTTATCAAGGGCAACTCTACTAAATTTGCTTTGTTGTTGAGACTAAGATAAGAAGATTGATACCGCTCTCATTTCTGTATGTTAAATCTAACTACAGGCTGCAGCCTGTTAGCTTAGCTTAGCATAAAGGCAAACAGTTAGCCAGGCTCCTTCGACAGGTAACAAAATCCACCTACCAGCACCTCTAAATCTAACCATCACATTATATCTCGTTTGTTTAATTAAAAAAACGAAATCTGAACATGTCAAGTTGTGGTTTTATGGTGGTTATGTCTCCGACTACTCCGTCCAAGTAACCAGGCCAACAGCAGAGACTACAGTAAGTCACTGCACCTAGCCAAGAAATTATCTGGCACGTATTCTGTACATTTGGTCAGAGCAGGGCTAGCTGTTTCCCTCTGTTTCCAGTATTTATGCTAAGATAAGCTAAACTAACTGCCTGCTGGCTCCAGCTACATATCCACCACACAGACATGAGAGTGGTATCAGTCTTCTCGTCTAACACTTGGCAAGAAAGCAAATAAGTGCTATGTCTCCCAAAATGAACAAACAAGGCAGGTAGTATCAGGTAATGGCTACCCTTTTAGATTTGTCCTTAGCTTACTGTAGATCACTATTGTTGAATTGTTGTCAAATTTTGGTATTTTTTAAGCTTAAATTGAAATTTGATAATAATTTGTGATGATTTCTCTTGGGTTGTTGACATCTGCTGTAAAATGTCAAAATATGAATTGCTGTCAAGGAGACAAGCGTTTCTAAAACTCTAAAATTCATGCTTTTTGTAGATATAAGGTTTTGGTCAGAGAACTGCAACACGGGGGATCCTCCAGTTATTTTGAGTGTAGTTTCACGTTACATAATTGGGCAAAGGAATTTGTTTTTCGAAAGTGACAGGTCTCTGTCAGTTACATGCTGACAAGGGGTACAGTACTTACGAAAGCAAAACAGCAGTGTTACTAAGCACACATTTACACACAACACATTGGGACCAAGTGTTGTTTACTGTTGTTGAGGGCTGTCAGAGACTTCAAAATACCCCCTTGTCATTCATGGTTTAGTTACTATCCTCACCAGTTAAATAATCTTACCTAAATATTTTAATATTTACATTTTTTATCTCTCTCTTGAGAAAATAAAAAAAACCCAAAAAACCTAAGCTTCAAGTTGTCAATAATCGGCTCTTACTTTTTGTCATTAAAATCAAGATTAAAAGTGCTTTTATAAATCTTTTCTTCTCTATGTACAATTTGTATTAGCTATATAAAAAAAAAGATGAAAAAAAGCAATAACATCAAAGACAATCATTATCATCATCACCATGTAGTAATAAATAAGAGTAAAAAAAAAAAAAAAGCAGGTTAAAATGAGTGTGGAGATCTAGAGCACACAAAGGGACATATGCATGATTCTCTGCCCTCAGTAGCAAGTTGTGATTGTAACCAGTGTCTCTACAGCGTGAGGTAGAGAGCTGGAGACCTTCGGGAGAGGTAACAGGGTCTTTCACAGATAACCGGGGCCTCGACCCAAACAACCACCCAGCAGCCAGGAGTCAGCCTGTATCGAGCTCTACTATTTCATTCATTTTCATTTTCAACACATGTTGCAAGTAAACCATGTGACTGTTTAAGTAATCAAACAGTCACATGGATGATGGAGAGAAAATAAAAATGATTCACGGGACTCAGGCTATCAAATAGTCTCTCTCTTTGGCTCTTTCACATTCACGCACCCATACATTTGTGCCATTTTCAGACACACACACACACACAGACGCACACAAAGTGAGAGATTCATTGATTCAATGCATTTGCATTTGGCGCCAACTCCCAGAAGCTACAGTAATTTTCCAAGGTCTCCCTTTAACTCTCAGTATTATTGTTTTCTCTGTGAAAGGGTTACCAAAATGCATTGAATGACTGTGCTTTCTCTGCCCTGTACAGTGTACTTTGTTTGAGACAAAACCACTTGGCCGCAAGAAAAAGGAACACCAGTTCTTAGCCCCAATGACAAAGCTGCAGCCATAAGGCAGCCACTTTGATTGGCTGGCTCTGTGGTGACAAAAGGTGCCTGCAGAAGGACACAACTCGCTCTGCTCGAAGATGACAGCACCATGCAGAGGAAGGAGTTGGCCCTTCACAGTAAATCAAGTGTAATAGGAGAGCACCAAGTGTGTGTAGGAGCACCAAAAGCACTGCTGTCCCAACACTGTTTCCTTCTGCTCTAGCCTAGCACGGCCTTCCCAAAAGCATCTCCAAACTTCATTCACATTTGTGCCACAATGGGACAGACAGCAGCTTCGCCTTGAGCTGCTCTGGTGAGACCCATCCATGGTCAGCAAACAGGATGTGAGATCCCCCTCTACTGGCCATGGATGGTTAAAGCAGCAAGACAAGGCTCTACGGGCTTCTGAATGGCTCTCAAGTGCTTGTAGGTTTGTTTGTACACACCACTTTGAAAAGGCAGGCACTGCTGCCCTCTAGAGTTTACACTGTGAATTGCTCATCCCTAACTTGAATGTTATAGGAAGATAAAGTGTGCCACCTGTCCCATCTCTATGTGGCAATTACAGATCTGGGTCAAATGACATTTGCAAATAGTATCATTTGCCTCTGTGGAGTACCAGATATGTACAGTTTTTTCCCCATAGAAAAACATGACAAGCAAAGGAAAGCATTTGTAACATAATTCATTATACTTTTCTTTGCATGACAAATTTGCTGCACTCGTGTGAATCACATCATTCTGGTACTCCGCCTTGGGCAGAAGAAAAATATTTACTTGCTAATACCAGATGAGCCAGATTTGAGAAAGAGCACCTAAGTACAGCATCAAGTGCCATGAAGAGTAGCGGAATGAGAATCGATCAGAGCTGGAAGTTGAGCACCAGTCGAAAGCTGGAGGGGTGTAGAAGAGGAGGAGGAACACATCATCGAACGACAAGAGAAGCAGCAGAATTTTCTCCCAATTTGGTTTAAAAGGCAAGTACAATTATTTTTAAGCTGTTGTTTTGTTTAAAACTTTTTTTAAGCTCTCTAGGGCCTCTGCTTTCCCACACAGTCACAAAACAAACACAGAACAGCTGAAACCAAGCACTGCTATTCAGCTATATTCATGTAATATAAAAGAAGCAGCCTTCATTTGGAAGTTTGTGTGTTCTACTTGTTACAGTAGCCACATCAACAAGGTACACTATAAATGTGCAAATACAACTGAATATTCTGACATACACTGTATTGTTTTGACTGTGTTGGATATGTGTCTTTACTTCCTTCTTTGTTTTTTTCCCTACTAGATGTGCAGACAGGAATAGAATGTATACTATTTGTACATAATGCTGGGAGGCTGAAGTGCAAAGATTTTCCAATTTTTAATTAGTTCCAGGCAATATTAAATGAATGTAAATTAATGTTTACAATTTCCAGTGTTACTGTGCTGTGTAGTGCTGCTGGTAAGATAGATTCGAATCCTTATGAAGGCCAAAATACAAGGCCAGGTTGATAATAACTGTAAGTATCCTTTATGAAAGCCTAAACTTGCTTTACATATCTTAAGGATACATATCTAATATAGACATACATATCTCTATATTGCCAATATAGAGATAGATATCTAAGGCAATCCTACAGTAAAGGCTTTTTTTAAATACACGTACATGTGATTACAGTAATATTGATTTGCTGTCTTGCCGGACAGACAATGGCTCCTCCTCTAAGTACAGCTGGAAGATTGACAAAAACAAAGAAGATCAAACAAAAAATAGGGTACATGTTTTCCAAACATGGAAAAAGCAATTGTCTGAGTCTGACTGACTCAGACTGATTGATTTAAAAAAATATATAACCAAAAACAATCACATCATTAATAACATTAATGAAAACAGCAATAATAAAAAACAACAAATCTTCATTATAATAATACCTGTAATAACAACATTGACAGTAACAATAGCAATCATAATAATATTGATAATAATAGCAATAATTAGAATCATTAAAATTCTATAAACAAGAAAAAGCAATGGAGTTCCTCTCCAGGGAAGAGAGAGGAAGAGCACCACAGGCAGTGTGTCTGAAGCCCAAACCACTGCCTGACATGAGGTAAAAAACAATAAAAATGTCCCCCCCCTCAAGTGGACTGCGGAGGGGGCAGGATGGAGAGATGCCAGACTGCGGGACGGCTGAGAGACATTCATCCTGCTCATCGCTCTCTCCAGCCCTCCACTGCACCACTCTGTAGCTATCAGTCATTTTCTGTCTGTCTGAACTCAGACAAAGTGGCTGTAGGGCCCAGTGAGGCGGGTGAAGGCATAGGGAGACACAGTAACCATAGAGGTGGTGTTGAACGTGGGGGCTAACCGCGTCACTGGCCCCTCCCTCTTGTCTTTAGATTGTCCAGGTCCTGGACTGGCACCTGTCACCGTAGCCCCCCACTTACGTTTCTTCCCAAGGGCCTTTATGTCCTCTTGGGAGAGGCCCAGAAGAGCCGCTTCCTGCTGCCTCTGCAGTGCTCTCTCTGCCAGTAGCTTCATTTTGGCCTCCCACAGAGCCAGGCCATGCATGGGCTGGTTGAGGTTCTTGTGCTGGTAGAAGACCAGGGAGATGCGGGTAGGGTGGGAGCGATCAGGCTTTTTGAGCGGAGTGGTAGCATGTAGTTCCCGACGAGCACATTCAATCAGGATAGAGCCGTGGGCTGGTGCGACAGCTACACCACCAATGTTGGGATCCAGAAAGTTGTGCTCACTGTCAGACCACACCTCATCATCGTCCTCTTCACGGCCCTTGTTGCTCTCAACATCACTCTCAGCTCGGCTGGGGTTCCAGCAGGCCTGATCAGACTGCTGCAGGGCATCAGGGAAGAGGCGACCCTCAGGGGCAGGAGACGGGGTACTGCCTGCCACTGAACCTCCGCAAGACTTCCATGCCTTCTCTTGGAGCCCAAGGGGAGTGGAACACCGACTTTCCCCGGTCTTGGACCAGATCTTGTCAGGGTAGGCTCCTGCAGGATTGCTGTGCTTCAAACCAGGACTATATGCCACAGGCCCCATGGACCAAGCATTCGGCTGAGGACTAGGAGCTGGGCTGGCCCAGTGCCTTGGGGTGCCTGGGCCTGGGGTACCTGGCTGTGGTGTAACTAAGCCTGAGTGGGGGTTACCAGGCTGTGGTGTACCTGGGTGAGGGGTGGTTGGGCGTGGGGTGGCAGGGCGCGAGGGGCCTTGATGTATGTGACCTGGGAGCACTGTGCCTTGATGAGGGGATGGAGATAGAGAGGGAGGTACCTGGAGGGATGGTGATGGGGCAGGGGAAGCCATCAGGGCATTTGATCCAGGGTAGGATGTCCACTGCTGTGGGTAAGGAGAGGGCTGCCGCTGCTGGGGATGCTGGTGAAACTGCTGCTTGTCTGGGTTCAACAATAAGGCTTCAGGATTTTGTTTAGGGTTCAGATGGCTGTCCCAGTTGGTGGGAACGATACTTCCATTAAGCTTGTGCCCTGGCCAGGCCATAGGCTGCGGGGTGGTGCTAGGTGTCTTGGCACCAGCCTGGCTTGGCATTGTGCCTTCATAGACTGGCACATCCATAGGCTCCTGTTTGATGACTGGAGTGCCTCTGTTGGAGGATTCAGAGGAGACAGAAGAAGGACGGGACTGGTTGTAGTCCACAGGGTGGGTGTAACCACTGTGGTTTGGTTGGTTGGCTTGCTCTGGGTAGCTGGGGTAGGACTGGGCCAGTCGGGCCTGAAGGCTCTGAATATCAGGCTTCTTTTCTACCTGGTCAATCTTGCTCCCTGCTTTGGGCAAAGAGCCATTTCGACCCTCGTAGGTCCTCAGCTTAGGGGGGAAAAGTGCATTGGGGGGATAGTTGTAGTAGCTATAGTGCATTGCAGTGTGGTGGTAACCGTTTACTGGGTCTGGTGCAGAGGGCTGGCCAGTTGGGGGAAGGCCTCCCCTTGCATAGTAGGCAGGGTGTGGATAGATGTTGTTGAATGGTTCTGGTGCCTGCACAGGGTATCCATCTATTGATCCGTTGAAGTGCTCTTTCTTGATGTTGGGCTTCACCTCTTGTTTTATAATTGCTGAATTTTTGGAACAAAGGAAGTGTAAATTACAATTACAATTCAAATGCATTTCAGTTTGTAATTGTTTATGTCTTCTGTGGACCTTTGTATTGGAGTCCTGTTACACACTAGGTGCAGGTTAGGGATAGGGTAAATGCATTTTAGGCTAGTAGTACACTATGAGTGACATAAAATACACAACACAGTAACTGACCTTTATTGCCTTGGGGTTGAGGGGAACCAGTGATGCAGACCTCCGCCTTGACCACAGTCTTCTCTGGTGTCTCCCCTGCCTGCATTAGCTTATTTTTCTTCTTCTCTGAGGAGGCCTTCTTGGCCTCTAGTCTACGCTGTCGGCAGGACTTGGCAGGTTCGGGTAACTTGCGTACCTCACGGCGGAAAGCCTGAAGCACCTGGATGGCCCCCGTCTGCATCTTGAGGCGCTGGGCCTCCTCACTGCCAAACTCATCAGTCAGGGAGATCTTGTAAAGAGGCAACACATGGAGCTGCTCGTCCTCAGGAATCCCCTTCACCTTACGGTTGTCCTCCTTAGTTAAAGTACACACCTAACAGAGAGAGAGAGAGAGAAAGATGACATGTACACTGTTTCAGGCTACCAATCAACACTCTTTATTCAAATTATGTAGCTTATTAACACAAATGTAGGAGAGTGGTCAGTCATCTTACCACTGTGCAACCATTGTAGAGGTTGTGCTGGTCCTTATGAGCATGGGCACAGAAGTCCATGCAAGCAGTGACTCCAGAGAATGGACGGCCTTCCTTTAAGCCCAGCCTGCACTCTGGAGCTTTCGATTCTGACTGGCACTGAAGAAGAGGACAGAGATAACTTAATTTCCTTACATTCATCCATAATTGATAGAGACACAGCTGTTTAGCTGTTAAGCAGCTGTTTTGTAGTGTAATATGTCATACTGTAGATATAACTTAACAAAAAATAAGTTGAGTCAGTTCCTGCCAGTCGATCTGTTTCTCAGTCATAATTTATTTAAGTGTTGATGGTCTGGTGTACAGCACTACTGATTCTGTGTGAGGAAGATGACAGGCGTAGTTGGTGGCTGCATGAGGTTATCATTGTTGGGTATTTGCCTGTACAACAAACCTGATTACTGTAAGCCTGTGGGGCCAGCTTCTGGTACAAAGGAGCCACCTCAGTTGCCAGATGCTGGAATCGATCCCTGAGTTTTTCCTCCTGACAAGCAAAAACATGGATCACAGGTCAGAGCAAAACACAGGGCCACCGAGCTATAACGGTATCTTCCAATTACTTAAGATTACGAAAGTGACTTAACTCAATATATTCCTGTAAAATTCTATAAAACAAGTGGCTTCTATAAGATGAGTACCTCTTCAGGGCGATCTCCTTGTAGCCTGAACTTGCGTGGCATTTTGCTGCGGGCGTACTTACAGCCATTAAAGTACATACTCCAGGAGCAGCCAAAGGAGAAGGAAGCGCCACAAGTTTCAGGGTCCTTGCCTTGACACGCGCAGGTACGACTGCAGGGGGAGACAGTGAGCACCCTCTTAGTTTAATGTATAAATGATGTGTAACCCCTGAATGCTTTACATTATGTAGAGCAGAAAATTATCAATGAGGAAATGTGTGCAATATTTCATTTGCAGCATTACTGTTACCGCACATTAGTTAAGCCTTTTATCTCTTTATTTGATCTTGCATTTAGATATGTATAACAGACAGATTAAATTTGACCTACTAGTTATTATAGTTTTGTATTTTTCTGTAGTTTTTATTTCTTTCTTTTTTAAAAACAGTCTTAATAAACATATGACCCAATGCCTACTCTTGCTTGTCTTGACAAATTGGAACAAATTGACCAAGACTAAAACATCTCTTGTATATTGAATTAACTCAAATGTGTTTTTACACCTAATTTTAGTTTACTACATTAACCTTGCTACTAATATCAGTCACTAGGTTAATACACACACAGAAGCTGCTAAGCCCCAGATAGTGAATAGTGGTTATGTCTGAACCAGGTTAAACAAGGGTGTGTCCACATCCATTCATAGCAAGTGGGAGTGGGATGTATGACATGGACAGCGTGTATACAACTGGTGACAACGATTTATTTGGCTTGAATTAAGCTTTATGCCTCTGGAATAATTTCCCATGTCACAGATGCCCATAGGACCACAGATTAGGCTATGGATCTCCCACCTGATAGGTTGAAAGCATACTTTCACTGATGTCATTGATCTTCCTTAAATTTCTCATAGGATGTTTCAGTAGCATGTGCTTCAAAGTAACTCCTCCTCCATAAACAAAGTACCGGACATACAGGTGTAGTGACGGCCCCGGCAATGCAGCATAATGCTGATATGCAGACAACCTATCTGTCTGTCTGCATCAAAGTGTACCCATCAGCTACTCACTCATCGTTGAGGCCACAGCGTCGGCTGGTGGGGTTGCCAAATTTGGTGAGGCTGTCACTCAGCTCACGGTACAGTTGGTCAGCCATGGCCCTCGGGACACCTTCCCAGGCCATAATGAGGATGATGATGACAGCATTGGCACAGTGGTGGCCAGCACGATGGCGCACCAGACACAGCAACTTCTCTGTATCACTGCTGCGACGGATCACCTGACAGGACACAGAGCTTATCATTATTTTAGTTTTTACTCATCCAGGGGAAGTTCAGCAAACACCCTGGGTCTTTACCAGCAAAACCTTCATTTATGCTTACTAAGTTCCACTTTCTCTGACATGAATACAGAATGACATACAATTAAAATGAAATGTCAGTTGAACCATAAAATGCTTTATATTGTACAGTGTCTTTGAGTATTCAGAAAAGCGCTTTTTAAATCAAATGCAATTATTATTATTATTTAAAAACCTGCTGTTGACTAATTCTGTCAACATTTGTTCCTACTATGCAGTAACCTTTAGATGTCCAGCACACACAAATGCCTCTGAAATACTGAACAAGGCACAGTAAGAAACAGTTGATGGTTACACTGCATACTGGAAGGATATGTGATACCTGTACTGAAATCTGGCCTGCTGTGGTGACTGGATACTGGTCTTAAATCTGCTTAAGCCATAGGTTAAACATTTAGCTTGACAGTCAATTCACATTACACATACTAGTATATATTCTCTATGCAATATACAGCCATTCTTACACTATAACATACACTAGAGGACAATGAAATAAATATATTTATATATGCATAAATATGCAATATGCCTTAATATCTGGCCACAAAAGATACAGGTTTTTTGACATGCGCAAGCCTGCTTCCTTTCACTTTTACTATGTCTACACTCACCCAACCTCTCTGTCTCCAACACACACACACACACACACTCTCACACTCACCCTCCCTCAGGATGGCTGTTTTGAATCCATAAAGTCATTAGCAGGATGTGTGAGGGGTGACACGGAGGAGGGGCTGGGCAGTTGTTACAGAGTGAGACCTCCTACCGATTTACTAACTGTGGTGACAAACTTGGTGAGGTGTCTCCCCAGGACCCCTCACTAAACACACACTGCATAATTCTATTGTTGATTGACTCTCATTATTGTTATGTGGGACAAAAAACACCTCTACCTAAAAAGAATTGTTTTTGAAAGTCATGGACCATTCTTTTAAACCACCAACAGGAAAAACAAGAGATCTTGAAAATACCAAGTATCCAAGGCTATTGCTTCGTATCCCACTGCAACCACCTACCCACCTAAACTTCACCCACACAGCGGATGTGATGTGATGCTACTTACCCACTTAGCAATAGGACATCCTCGTGAGCTCTTTCCCTCTCTGCCAGTGTACACCACCTTCTCAATCCGGATGGCATCACCTTTCTCACCATACCTACACAGAAGGAGAAACAGTTCAGTTATTTTAATGTTTATCCATTTCAGCAGGTCTGATGTCTGACTTTAAAGATCTGACATGCCAGGCTGTGGCCTAAACTTAAACACATGCTGTACTTTTCTGTGTGTCAGGGGCCTGAGGGCCACCAAGGAGACCTCAAAGAACCATCACCATCAAAAGCTGACGGGTCAGAACCTTTGCATCATTTCTTGCTGCCTCACATGTTCTGTTAAAAGACTACACCTGACAGCCAGTTGCCAGGGTTGCCAAGATTAAACATGATCAGTTGGCTAAATGGTTGCATATAAAGTACAACTGGTGAATGCAAAAACTAATTGAACTTAATGATACCCCAACAGCACCACAGCAACTGCTGACTGCTGGCTTGGGGTATCAGCTTTAATAGGAGATACATTCCTGCTGTTGCTGAAGTTAAGGATTTCTTTTTGTCAGAATTCAAGGGTCATCAAGGGTGTTTCTTTTTTTTACCTGTGTTGCTCTGTGTTATGTTCTGTGTACCTACAGGAGTCTGCGGGAGTAGAAGTATATGTCAACTGACAAAGACAGGCCAACCTCAGCAGCACTTGCTGGTGTTCACAAGGCTCTGCTGAGATTCACACAAGCCTGGCAGAGTAAACCAGAACCCACTAACGTCAACACAATGCCAGCCCAATGAACTAGTAGTTCTGTGCTGATGTTTGTGTCCACATGTGTATGCATGAGCTTATTTTGTGTACACACATTTCTATTTGCTTTGTGTTTTGTGTGTGTTTGTGTCTGCGAACACCTGCCTAAGCAAATAATGGAGATTTAATAGTAGTCCTAATGGTGCATGTGTTTATTTCTGCAGGTCTGTTGGTAGAGTGGGGAGGTGTATAGGAGGAGGGAAGGGTCAGAGGTTGTGTTGGGGTGGGGGCAGGACATTAGAATTTGTCAGATGTCTGTTCACGGCTCCTATCAGGTCTCCGGTCCGCTTGATACCTGCCATTGTGAAAACTTCAGCCCTGAGTAGATTTGGTGTGACAGTGAACACAAGGGGCTCTTGCTGAATAGGAATCACCCTGAGGTGGCCGAGAGAGTGGGAGGGAAGTAGGCTCTATCACCACAGGGGTGGCCTGCTGGGGTCAGGGGTGGGTCAAAGGTCAGCCAGGGACATTGGGGTCTTAACTCTTGTCATCTCTCAAACAACAAAAAGTGGTCCTGGCCTAACATCCCCCCTCACTCAGCCTGTGCTCTCCAGGGACTAATGACTCATTGGTGCTATTGAAATCCAGCCTTTGAAATGTATGCCTCACTATTGGTAATATGAAGCACAACACAATGAGGCATCCAGTTATAGAGTGTTATTAGAGTGCAACTACAAGACGATTTCAGAACTTTTTATTCATCGACCGTTCATCGCCATTCATCAGTGTTATATTTTAATAAGATAGGCAAACAACATTTCCATTAAAGAAGCTATAGCTGCACTTTGGTTAACTGTCTTTTTAGTACCAATTCTGCTGACACATTGGACACAAAGTAACAACAGCTTATTCTATTGGTTTGGTGAGGCTGTCCACTTCGTACTGTATATGTGACATTAATTAGAGAGTCCTGATGGCTAATACAAAATGCCATCTGCTCATACCTTCAATTTGACGATGTAAGATTATTTGTTTTATTTGAGGTTTCAAACTGCAGCTTTGAATGTACATCATCTTCATTTAAAAAGTTATCACCAAATTTCAGCTTTAACTAAGACTAGAAGACTGCTACATAATATAAATAACTAAATCTAAGTGCACAAAAGCATTTATATTATTCTTTCTACTAAAATGTTACTGTCCCTCCATGTTCCTCTCCCTTCATCTGTCTCTGTCTGTGATCTGATAATATCCTTCTTCCTCCCTAATTCCTCTCATTCTCTGCTATCATCTGCTGCTACTCTTGTGCTTCTTGCTCTGCCTCTGATATGCTGATGATGCTGATACTTCCTGTTCCCTCCTCCTACTGGATTCTGGGTCACGGATTCCCTGAGGACAAATGTGAGGAGGAGGGAAGGTGGAGAGAGAGGAGGAGGAGGAAGAGGCAGAGAGGAAGAGGCAGAGAAAGCAGAGCATGTAGGAGGAAGAGAAAAAGAGAAGAGAAGACAAGAGAAAAGGGGAAGGCTCACCTCCTCTCCATCAGGTCTCGTATGGAGGCTACAGTAGGTCCAGATCCCAGGTGATTGTAGTAGGGTCCTTCATCTTTTTCCACAATTTGTTCTAGAAAAAGAGACAATAGAGGGTGAGGAAACAGCACATAACCTGACCTGAAAAAGCACAATGGCAAATTACACACTTGAATGTACACAATGATGATGATAATGTATGTTGTATTACATATGATAACCACTAAATATAGGAACTATCTAGTCTGACTGTTCTATAATTATGAAGTATAAGTATTAATACTACACTTATATTACTTTATAATTCATTTTCAACTTCCTTATCTTACACTCTGAGAGGAAGTGGGGCAAAATTTGACTCACTTTACTAGCATGTGTTTTATTGCTTGATCTAAACAAAACATTGGAATTGACACACAGCAGCGCAGCAGGAGCTATTATTACAGTCATCAACATGTACTGTTTTTAGTAAATATTTATCGTAAAATCTTGTGTTGATTTGTAGAACGCCAACACAAGTACCAACACAAGACATTGAAACTCTGCATTAAATATATTATATTACTATACCTACATAGACATAATTTTTTTTGTCAATATTATCAGCAGCATCACAAAATACCTCCGTGGTGATTCTCCTTAGGTTTTATAAATGTTTTTTCTCAGTGCATTATCTAATAAATAATTTCTCTGCCTCAAATCCTAATTTACTGTACCTAGATAGAGTCCTGCTTGAAGCTAAAGTGTTTACCTTTGTTTGAGTAAACTTTTCACTCAAGTTAATCAATGAAGTCCCTTGGCTTCAGTAAAGAATGAAGCTGTGTCATCACATAATTCACATCTTAGTTTTTGTAGAGTTTTGAAAAAAGTTAAAGCTGTGTGTTTTGATGTATTTTCTGGATAATTTCAAAGTCCTTATCTACTCTTTGTTGGTTAAGCTAAGTTATCTATGAAAAGCGTGAGAATATGCGACTGATTGCAACATCCAGTTCACACAAACACACATGAACACACACAAACTCCCAACACACAGACAGTGGGCTGTAGGGTGTGGTGTGTGTGGGGAGACACTGTAAAGCAGAAGCTCTTTGAGGTAGTGATGAATGACTCCGTTTGTGTGAGTGTTAAGAGGGAATAAGGGTGTGTCTGTGTGTGCGCTGTGTACATCTTTGTTTGTGTTTATCTTGTGTATGCGTGTGCATGTGTGTGTGTGTGTGTGCATTTGACCAATGTCCTAAAAATGTTGCGGTTGTCCTGTAAGTGTTATTCCTTGTATGTGACACTGTGCAAGTGAATATATCCTACATTAAACGTTAGATTCTAATGGACTTTGCATTGCTCTTGCTTCTGTACACAACATTTCTTTATCATAGTGTAGCACACACTCTAGATAACAACATTATCTAGTAAACGCTCTAAATGAAAATGCACTACACTATCAGCTGATTATCTAAAATGTGGACATACACTCAGTGCTGTGTGAGTCTCTGGTTCAGAGGTAATATGAGGTCACATTCCCCTGTTGGTGCAGGGAGGAACCAGGGCGTGGCTCAGAGCAGGAAGTGGAGGAGTCATACTAAATTCTTGTGTGGGAATTGGTCGTGTGTGTGTGTGTGTGTGTGCAACATGGCTATAATGTATCTGTGTGTGTTAGGGGTCTCATTCCTGTGCAGTGTTATGCTACAGGGAGTTGACAGGGCAGTGTGTGACCAAGCTTTACTATATAGACTTGTTGTCTGCTGGTATAAGTAACAGCACACAGCTAGCAAGTGTTTTCCTGCAGCTGCTCTCCCCCTACTGTGCACCCTGTTCAATGTTTAGGGACAGCAAGTGTCTATTTACAAGAACTTAACCCTTCATAGCCCTACAGTTAAAACTCAGGTACTGCAAGAAAATTGTTGTAATTTCTTGATAGCATTTCTGAGAACAAACTCTTTCATTATTCAGTTAATGAGCTGTTAACCACAGTAGTTGTAGTCATTAACCAAATACATAATGGACGATTCAAATAGTCTTTTTGAATAATAAAGATTCTACTTTTTTCCTCATTCACTGTGGGTGTATCAAAGGGTAAATCTACCTGAACTAACTTTGTCTACTTGTTAAGGCAGACAAAGGTTTATGTAATGTTTCTTTTATGTTTAGTTATATGATGTATAATTTTCCATAGATTTCTACTGTAGGACCACCTAATCGGTTGTAAACAAAAAACCTGAGCAGGGTACTACCCAAAGTATGGGACTGAACCCTTTTCTGTCTAACAAAGGCTCTGTTCTGCTTGCCTGCCAGACCCAAACACACACAAAAGCCTCCTTCTGCCACCACTGCTATTGTTCCTGCCCACTGCCTTTAGTGCCTCACACTGTCGCAGTCTGGATGGTCGCAGCCCCACACCCTGGCAACACACACAAAACCTGAAAAACCTAACAGTGGATATGTGTAGTTCAATAATTAAAGCACTAACAGTGACATCATTATGGATTCATTAATTCAGTTAATCAACTAACACATGAACACATGATTTCTGGATTTTAAAAATGTTTCCTCAAAGAGTCTTCCCTGCAAAATATGCATGCTCCCCTGCTGCTATAAAGCACTTCCAGAACCCACTTCTACCATCTAAGACTGCTCAGGGAATGTTTGGAGTGGTGTGATATTTTTTAGAACATTATTGAATATTTGTCTGAAAAGTGCTAATGGACAGCAACCTCATGACCCTGCATACACAAAAGCATAGACACCAATACAGTGACTTACCCACACAGGTGCAGGTGGGGAACTCTGCCTGTAGATCCTTGGAAGGAGTATCCAGCAAGGTCTTGGTGGGCCTGTCCAGATAGCGCAGAGGAGACTCTAGGAAGCCTCTGAGAGATGGAGAAGAAGGTAGACTGTCCTTAGTGGGCGTGTCCTCCTCAGAATAGCATGTGGTGGAGAGTACTGCTATATCACCCGAGGCTTCAATCTTCATGCGTTTAGGCAGCGGAGAACCTGGCATGCTAAATGTATCCTCTAATATAGTGGGCTGCTGCTGCTTGTCCAGAATTGCCTCCTGATGCAGAGAGAGGGGCCCCTCATGGTGTTGCTCAATAGGGCTTTCTGTGGATACCTGGTTCAAGGTTGCTTCACTTTGGGTCCCTGACTCATTCTTGTTGACTTCCATCTCCTGATCGTTTTGATGAGATGTGGAGCTGGCTTGAGTAGAGAGAGTTAAGGGAGCCAACTGGGATTTGGATATAGATAAGGGGCTGAGGCCTTGAGGACTGGTCTGGGACCGATTCCCCGGCTGAGGGGCAGTAGCGGTTTGCTCCATGGGCTGACTAGCAGGTGCATCGGATTCCCCAAATTCAGCCTCAAACTGGCGGATCAGTTCTTCGTACTTCGGGTCTATGTTAATGAGACTCGGTAGCTGTGAGGTGCTGGATGGAGATGTGGAGGTCAGAGGTGTGGTGGTGCTGGTGTTACTGGAGGCCAGGCTGCTTGCTCCCTCTGACTTAGCATGGGCTACAGGGGCCAAAGGTGGGGACAGAGGACCCATGAGGGCTGGAGTGTTTTCTGACAAAGCAGAAACAATGGAAGAGGGAGTCATTGAGGAATTGGATATTGATACCTGAGATTGGGCTGGGGCAGGGAGGCCTGCAGCAGCAGCCTGAGTGGAGTTACTGTGGAGGGGCAGAGAGGGCAGAGAACCTGGTTGCAGGCTGGTCAGGGCCGGGGCTCTGTCCATCATGAGGACTGGTGGTTTTTGTATGGTGATCTGATTCTGAGGCAGGAAGGTTGGCATGGAGGCTTTCTGCTTGGTCTTCTTGATGATTATCTGTTTGGGTTTGGGTAGGGGAGGGCCTGTAAGCATCCCACTCATAGCTTTTATGACAGGAGATCCTTGGCTGCTTTTTTTCTTCTTGGGTTCCTTGGGTTCCTGTTTGATAGCCAGATGGGGCAAACCCTCTGACTCCATCTGTGGCCACCATTTTTTCAAGTTTTGGCAAGCCAGAGGTGCATGAGGGCCTGGTGCTCCAAAGCCAGGGGAGTGGTTAGAGAAGAGGTTCCTCTTGTAGTGAAGGTGATGTTGCAGAGCTGCCTGAGTGGAGTGACTGATAGCTGCTTGGCCAGGAGACAGGGGAGTGCCAGGGTAATGTTGACCCTGTTGCTGACAATTAGCCATGCCATAATGTCCCATGGAGGCAGTGTGATGGTAGTGCTCACCAGATTGTGGCTCTTGTTTTATTCTGGCCAGTGCTGGGTGGTCCTGTGCCTGGATACCTCCATTCTGGCTCAACCTGAGCTGCTGTGTGACTGGAAGCTTGAAAGGAGCATTGCTGAACTTGCCACTGGTGTCACCAAGCAGCTGTTTGAGCTCTGACATGGGGTCTGAGCTACTGTGAGGTGCAGCGGCGTAGTGAGACTGAGGCTCAGAGTTCATACACAGCCATGGATTCTTCTGTTCAGAACCTCTGCCTGAGCCCTGCTGCCACTGCTGGGGATTGGGGCTGAAGCCTCGATGTTTTCCCTGACCTGGGAAGGGAGAGGTAGAGGATGGGAGAGGGGTAGCATGGGGTGGCTGGCCCTGGGATTGGGGCCTGTGGTGCTCACAGGATACTGGTGCCTGCTGGCTCGTGTGAAGTCCTGGAGGGACAGATTGAGAGCGTGAGGAAGATGAGTGGGTGCTGGGAGAGGACAGGATCAAGCTAGTGCCATTGGGGGGATGAGATGGAGGGTTTTGGGTATGTTGATGGTGATGGAGGTTACTGGTGTAGGGGGCTTGACCTGGAGAGCCGACAGCTTGCGGACCAGTACCAGATAGCTGGGTCAGAGCTTCTATGGCGATGGCTGTCTGAAGACTGATGTTCTTTTCCTTTGCTATGGAGAGCACCTGGGGAGAGCAGGGAATTGGGGGTTTGGAGCAGGGCACTTGGTCTGGATGAGGGCCTTGAGTTCCCATTTGCTGCGTGGGGTATGAAGTAGACTGATGGTGGCCACCATTCACCTGGGGGTAGGGCTGAGGGTGATGTTGCAAATGGGGTTGCTGTAGGTGAGGCTGTAAGTGTGGAGGAGCATCTGACATCTTACAGGTGCCTTGGTCCTCACTTGTTGCCAACTTAATCTTCTTTTCCAGCCACTCAAGGTAGTCAGGACAGTCAGGCCCATCACAGTTGCAGTTAGGGGGCTTGTGTCCATGTTTTGCTTGGCTCAGTGCTGTCTGTAGGGTGTTCAGGTCTTCTGGAGGTTGGCAGCTACCCTCAGGAGCCCCTGCAGAGAGTCTGGCCTGAGCCCCCTCTGAACCCATCTCCTGGGTGAACTTCTCATATAGCTGGGCTGTGTTAGGCTGCACGAGGCAGGAAGAGGAGGAAGAAGGAGGCAAGGAGCCAGCAATAGCAGAAAAAGCTACCAGATTGTGGGCATCCTCCATGTTTGCGTGGTGGACAGGTTCATCAGGGTTTGTATCACTGCTGCTGTTCCAACATGGTTGCTGTTGTTGGGTGTCACTGACTTTGCCATGTCCTGACACCCACTGCCTTGGAGGCACGCTCTGCTGCTCTGTTTCCATAGATGTCTCATCATCATTAGGGTAGCGATTTACCCCATTGGCAAGTTCCAGGCTCAGTGCGCCTTCCTGGAGGCGGTCATGTGACCCAATTTCCATCTGGCCTCCACTTCTGGGGCCATCCACTGAAGTGACTTCGTGAACGGTCTGAAAGACAAACATTGAGCATGGTTAGTGGGGTTATTAGAATCCAATGAATCCAAGAGTGATATGCCAAATAACATTATACACTGTATATTAGGCATTGTTTTTAATAACCACCAAGTTTAATAATCACTTTATTAAATAAAATACACTTTTTATTTTATTCTTTTTTATTCATTTTTATCTGT